TTCCTTCGTGAAACTCTAAATCTTCAGTTTCTGTAATTTTCTTTTCTTTTCTCCTTTCTTCTAATGCATATGTACAGATAATAAAATCAGTCAGCATTTCTTTGTTTGAAAAGAGTTGTATTTGCTTTGCTTTTCGATTTTTTCATTAGATTTAAAATTTTTCTTTCGAATGCATTTTGAGATTGACTTGTTTGGCTTGTTGCTCTTTTTTGTATTAAATGTGTTTGTGATGAAGAGTTTATCACATTAATCTCATTGCCAGTAAAATATATATATTATTTCTCTGGCTGCTTTTAAGTTTTCTCCTTGTAAATAAGTATTTCAGTTTGATCTTTATAGTTATCCTACTTGAAGTTCTTTGTGTTTCTTTTATTTATTGGCTTATAGTTTTAGCAAATGTGAAAAATATCTCAACCACTAGCTACTTTTACAAATACTTTTTTATACTTCTCTCAATTTTCTGGAAATTGTAATTGATAAATATGCTTAAACCACTTGCTATTTGCTGATTCCAGCATCTCCAGGGTTTGTGTGTGTGTGTGTGTGTGTGTATCTTTCCTATTACTTGAATTTTCTTCTTGTTATGGATCTTGATTTTTTCTTCATATTTTTGCTAAGTATAGTGAAATTTTGAATTTTATGCTTTTGGTTGCTGGATCTTGAATATTATGCTGTTGACTGATAGAATTTGTTTTTTCTTTAAAAAGAGACTGCTTTCTATGGCATGCCATTGAGGAATGTATTTAGGATCTATGAATGATACTGTGACTTGCTTGTAAGCTTCATTATGATGGCTTCATAGAAGCCTTCACTCTAGAACTGATCTGACACTAAAGTGTGACTCTGCTGAGAAAGTGACCAGATTTTAGGCATGTAGCAAGTTTCTCCCTCTGGGTGGAGCAAAGATGGCCTTCCCATGTTGCTAAGAACTCCAGGAATGTGTTTGTCTCATCCCCTGTGGTGGTTCTTTTCCAGTTGCAAGTGATTTTACTCCAGGCAGGCAGAGCTCAGTAGTCACCTCAGGAATCCAGGGGAATTCTGTGTAGATCTCCATAACTTTCCCAGTCTGTGACATCTGTTTATGTCTGTTAGTCAGCTCTTACAATTCTACCCATTTTAGCTTTCCCAGACTTTGATATATGGCTCTTAAATTCTGCCAGTCATGCTGTTCTTGGTAAAATTTCTCCTCACTGTGCTGCAGGCTGGAAACTGCCTGTAGTAAGTAGGCTGGTGGAGTGAAGGCCATAGTAGGGTGTTTTTTTTTCCTTCGAGATTACAGTCTTGCACTAAAACACTTGGTTGATATACTTTTTGCACATCTAAATGTTTATAAAGACAGGATAATTCTGCTAGGCAGTTATTTTTCCCATGGCCAATGATGAAAGCCTTAATGCATGCTTTTTTTGTTCATTTGATTTTTAGCCTAGATGCCTTATTTTTCATATCCAGCAAGCTAATCAAAGCCAATGCTGATGAAGATCAATATGTCTATATTTTTGTCTTAAATTCAGTGTTATTTGCATCTATAAATTCAATTGCCATTTTACTTTTTCTGAAAGTTTTCAAGAAGTAGTGTTTTTGTTATAAATGCTTTCTCCTGTTCCTCAAAATGCCACCTAGGCAGAAGTTAGGTCTTTATTGTCATCTGTCAAAATTTACCAACATCTTACTAAGGATTGTTATCACTCTGTGTTTTTGGTTGCCTTTTGTTTAGTTTCTTCTAATTAGTTCTCAGTTTCTAGGGTGTAGTCTTTTTTGCTATTATGGTTTCTGTGTCTTCCTTTTTTATAACTTTTTAATTAATCATTTCAGTTTTTATCTTTTTTTTTTTTTTGTACTGGGGATCAAACTCTGGACCTTGCTCTTGCACTGCAGGGGCCAGAACCACTGAGCTAAATCCCCGGCCCCCTCAGTTTTTATCTTGTGATCAGCCAGTTTGCTTATTTGTTTCAATTCACTTCCTGATTATTGGGCAATACTACTCTTTGTGTGTGTGTGTGTGTCTGTGGGCCCGTGCACCCGTTCACATGTGCACACGCACATGCACACACGCACATTCTGAAGATTAAACTCACGGCCTTAGAAATGTTAGGTAAATTCTCCATCATGAGCTATGCACACAAGCTTCTTGGTAATACTAATAGGTTTAGCAACTTTATTTTGAATATGCTCTCATCTCCTTTTGCATCTTCTTTTCCTTCTCATTCTCCTCCTTCTCTGTCTTCTTACACTTTATCTTCTACTCCTCCCCTCATTTTCCCCCCTCCTCCTTTACTTTCTTCTTCCTCCTCTTCTTCCTTTCTTCTCTTTCTTCTTCTCCTTCTCTTCTCCTCTTCCTCCTTCTCCTCCTTCTTCTTTTACTGTTCTCTTTCTCTTCTTCATCTTTTTTTTTCGTTTTGATAATGGAAAATGCAATCCTTTTCTCACCAATTTCCTCAGAGTAGGTCCAGGTCTTAGAGTATATGGGCAGACTGAGGAGAGCTGATATGGTGCTGCAGTTTGCATAAATTTTATAAATTTTTTTGCAGATTTCTGTTATAGAATACTGTTACTTTGAATGTTTACTCTCTGTTCTCACCACAGCCTTATTTCCTGTTCACCCTCACTTTTTTATTTTATTTTTTTTTAGCTTTGGACAAGATAAAACCTTTATTTACAATTATTCTACCCTTTAAAATGAACACAGAAAAGGATTTGAATAAAAATATGCTTCAAATCACAGGAAACGAAGCCAAATTCCGCTAAAACTAAGAGAAAATGATAATAGCCAGAATATCAAAACCAATGAACAGCCACAAAGGGGTTAACACAAATTGAGACAGAACAGCCACATCACCTTTCCCTTGAGCCTTCTGTCTGTAGTGCTTTTGGTTCACAGTTAATAACTAGCTCAAGCATATCCACACTATTTGTGGTGTTATCTCTACCCACCTCATATAATGGTGGAGCCATTCATTTAATAAACACAATGTCAGAGAGGTTGGCTCCATTCACAAAATACCCTAAGAAAACTGTTGCTCAGGAGGCTGGAAATTCTCCTTTAGGAATAGAGTCATATAATATGGGAAGCACTGTCTAAATCCAGGCACATTTTCTTGTAAGGTCTTACTTCAACTCAAGCCAAACTTTATTTCTTTCTGGGATCTTTGGTGAGAAATTGGCAACACCACAACCCTAAGGCTATTTTATTCTTTCAGTTTGGACACCCATGTATTCTCATTCATCAGAAAATGTAAGAAATACTTAAATTGTTAATAAGTAGCATTAGGAATATAACAATTGGGAAGAAAAGTGGCTACCCCTTATTGTACCTGAAACCATTGCTAGTAAGAAACTTTAGTAGCTTTGTGATCTTGGTTTAAATGCTATTTAGGGTGACTTTTGAAATCTTCGGGGCTTCAAGTGGATTAGTTTTTCTATTTTGTAAGAGGAAGGTTGGGAGATCAAAATCTTTTTCTGGAGGCTTTATGGAGTAAAGTTGGCTGGTGTGAAGTGAGTTATTATGGGGAAGATTCCCCACAGGAAAAGCTTGAAGACTTCACACTTTTCCTTTCACCTTTTCACACACCTTTTCAGAGAAAATGTGATTGAGGTTTAGATGAATGGGGCTATAGAACCTCTGTATGATCACCCTCAGATGATGCATTTCCTCTTCCTTTAATGCTTCTTCACCTCTGTGAGTTTCTGCTGCTTGGTGCTCAAAGTAAATGAAATGGAGTACATCAGTCCGAATTTGCCTTCAAGTTCAGATTCCTTCCATTTTGTGCTTAGACAGCACTGAGTTACTGTCTGTTAACTTTCCTACTTTGTCTTGGTCGCACTGTTCCACAAGATCTTAGCTTAAAGAAAAAAAATTATTGTGCCTCCCTTAGAAGAGTGACAATGACATTTTACAAAATGATTGTCTTGAACTTGGACTGTACAGACACGTAAAGATACTCTTACTCCTTTTTTAATTTAAGATACAACAGTATTTGGCAGGTTTGTATCACATTTATGGGTTGAGGTTATAGTTCTTTTTCTGATGATATTTATGTTTCTATTTTGCTTATTTTCTTTTTATTTATAATGAGTTTTAAAAGAAGAGTAAAATGACACGTACTTTTGGATGCTTATTGTAAGACTGAGTAATAATTTTCAGTGTGTAGTATTCATTCCCTATGCCCCGTTCCCTATTCTTTGAATATCTGGCAACTTAGTAAAAATGTTCTCAACACCAGTAAATTAAAAATTATTTGGTGACATTTCTACTCTTATAATTGCATCTTCCTGTCAAAACCACCCAAAATGAAGTAAATCAATGATGACGTGCTTTTGAAAATAAGTGGTCTAAAACTTTTGCTAGGAGAATGGCAGAGGAAGTTCTGTGGCCAAAGGGGAACTAGGGAGGGGGATGGGAAAGGAGGGAAGATTAAAGAACAACAGAATGAGAAAAGAACGAAAAGGGGGAAACAAAGCTTTTGTAAATAAGGAGGGGAAGAAGAGTTGAAGGCAGGGGAGAGGAATGGGAAAAAAAAGAAGAATCAAGATTTATCATGTAGAGGCACAAATTCCCTATGATGAATGTAATCATTTTGTAGATCTAAAATGTACCAATAAACTTAATTAATTAAAAAACAAACAACAAAAAAAGAAAATGTCACATTTTCTTAACCCAAAATTTTTTTGCTATTGTAAGTAACTAAAGATTTTGAAATCTTTGAGGTTTTCAGTTTGCTTTAAAAGAAAAAAAATATTTTTGGCTTTGGCAAGGCAAACATGTAGTTTTCTCAGTAACTTTCTCCTTTAACTTTGAGATTAATCTGTCTTACTGATATACATTCCTTTATTATATGCATAGCATTAAAGTAGATGTTTTTTCCAAGGCTTTCATGTTGAAACATTTTACATGTGTGCATGGATGTATATATGCATTCTTTTTATCTCCCTAAAAATATAATTGTCTTAACTTGAAGTACAACAGACTTGTGGCTTATAAATAACAGAAATGTATTTCTCACCCTTCTAGAAGCTGGAGATCGGAGATTAGGTTTTCAGCATGGTCAAGTTCCAATGAGAAATTTCCTCTGATTTGTCAGCTGTCATATCCTTGAATCTTCATAAAACAGAAAATAGATCAAGAAAGTCCTGTGGGATTCGATAGGATCCCTTATCTTATTATTAACACATGAAGGCATTAATCCCATGTATGTGGGCTCTGCCATTAAATCCCATCTATGTGGGTGCCCCATCATGACCTAATTATCTCCCAAAGGCTCCACTTCCTAACACCACCATATTGAGATTAGGATTTCAACATATAGGTGTTTGGAGGATACAAACATTCAGCACATTGAAATAGTTAAGGAAGAAGAGTTAAAAAACATCAAATAAAAACATGTTCTGTTTATTGTTATTTCTGTAAGTGTCATGTCACACAATAAGCATCATAAATAAAGTACAGTATGGTATTCATTCATCCAGTTCAGAATATTTGAGGTGGATGTTATGATGTGTATCTAGATGTACCTCCAAAGCCTCATGATGTCAGAGGTGGGGATTTTCGGAGGTGGCTGAATCTAGGGTGTTTGATACTGGGATTAAAAATTTTATAAAATGGAGTACTACTCAGCCATAAAGAATGAGAAATCAGAGGCATTCATAGCTAAATGAATGTACATTGAGGCAATACTCTTAAGTGTAATAAATAGGACACACATGTAAATACTGAATGGTTTCTCTGGTGTGAGGAACTGAAAGAATAAATAAGCGTAAATGTATAACAGATAATATGAAATAGGAAGAAAAGGTACAAAGGGGAAGGGGAAGTGGAAGTGGGAGGGATAGGGGAAAGGAAAGAATGGAATGGAATTAATATGAGAAAATGAAAAAATGGAAACAAAGTCTTTGTAAATAGGGAGGGGTTAAGGGGTTGAAGGGAGAGCAGAGGAAAGGGGAAAAATAAAAATCAAGGTATATTATGTAAAGGTACAAATCTCCAATGATGAATGTCATATTATATACCTAAAATGTACCAATAAAATTAATTTACAAAAAGCTGTCATGCTGACATTAAGGATGTGATTCTGGGATTAAGTATGTAAAGCTGGGATTAAGGACAATCACCTTGGTGTGAGTGGCACCATCCAAAATTCGGGTAGCCTGGAAGGGATAAAAGGGAGAGGCAGGCTGCTGCTGCTTCTGCTGCTGTCCTTGCTTGATGCTTGATGCCTTTTGCCTGCTCTGCCATGCCATAGACTGTTTCTCCTCTGCTATGACCCTCTGCCATGTTACCTGCCTTGGAGCCAGCCGACTATGGACTGAAACCTCTACAAACTATGAGCTGAAATAAACCTTTCCTCCTTTAATTTGGGGTGTTGGGTATTTTGTCTCAGCAATGAGCAAAGTAACTTAGACAGAAGGCATTTGAGAAAGATCCAGAAAATACATGTTATGTGTATTGAGGAAGAAGGCTGGAACTTTCATAAACATCAAAAAACATGCACAGAATACCAAAGCTGAACAAAGGAAAATGAAGGAAAAAAATGAAAAGTAGAAAGAAGGGGCAGATTGACAGATTGAGAGAATAGAAATCAAATATGTGACTCATTTTCTTTAAAAATTTTAAGTAAATGTTTAAATGTGACAATATTAAGATAAAGACTAAAGCTATAATGACAAAAGGCAATTTTTAAGTCCTTATCCCTTCTAACAGTGCATATTGTTTGGTCCTATCAGTAATACAGTTAATTAATTAGTTTAACAGAGGGTCAATAAATCCTTGCTAAACTCTTATAATAATCTTAGAAATATAAAAATTATATGAGGGAGAGACTGTACATGAAATTGACCAAAGAGTTTACGAACAAGTTGAGACAAAAGGGGAAAATATGAAACATTATCACAGGATAGAATAAGATTCCTGTCACTGTTGAAGGACTAAGAAAAAACAAAGAAAGTTTTTGTAATAAAGCCATGTTTTAGAAAATTGTTGGGCTAAGACTGGAACTTAAAAGTTGGGTAATATCAATTACACATAACAGAAAACATAAAAATCGCCACTACCCTACTATTAGGGAATGAAAATCAAATGTAAAATTATCTTTGTTTCATAATCATCTTGCAGTTGTCATTTAGCTCCTTCTAAGGTAACATGGGATTTCATAGAATATTATACTTCAATAGCACTTCATCAAAATTTAATTTCCAGTAAATCCAATTTTTTCGATTTTTAACAAAAAAATCATTCACTGTACTGAGAAAACAAGCAAACTGCCTCTTACATGGCATTTGGTCTTTTCCTCACTTATTTTTATAACTTCATTTTCTTTGGAAAGTTTCACTGTCATATTGTGATAATATCTTAGTTGTTTTAAATTTGCATTGAATTACATCTACTGTTTATTAGAAACCAATGAATTCCATGACATTGGTCAATTTCTAATCTTAAATTTGAGAAGCTCAGTATGGTTTTGTACAACTTCATTTCATTTAATATAATTTGATGATTAAGATGATGTGGAAAGTTAACATACAATTTTAGCACACTGTATGATGTAGCCAAGGAAAGCTGACACATGTGTCTTTTTTCCCTTTATTTTAGACTGTACATTTATGGTTAGAGGCCCCTTATACAGATTTATTTCTTTGATTTGGTGATTCTGATGCACTAAGATCAGAAAATCAGACTAAAACAAATTTCTAATTATAAATATCAAGATGGATAACAGACATACAGTTCTCAAATAGAACAAACTTTAAAACCCACATTCATTTCCCTGTTTCCTCACCTAAGAGTTACTGTATTTTTATTGATGCAGTGATTGTAATTTTTCTTTCAGTGGTGTCTCCACTTAACAATTTCATGGAATTGAAATGCAATTACATTGCTCTTGAATTTGTTTCTAGCACTATTCTCTGTAAGACAAATCCATGACCATAGGTCCATCTTATATTCAAGGAAATGTAGTTACTCTTAGACAAATTCAGACAAGCATGAATCCATGAATCCAGTAATGCAGGAATCCATAATGCATGAATCCAAGGTGAGCTGCAGACAGTAGTGCTTCTCTAATTTGCTTCTCTAGCAGATGCTAAAACAAAACATTTCTATTTTTGTATATATGCCACCACATGTGTTCAGGACAGGCATGGACAAATGTTCTATCTAAATCAGAATAGTCTATGTTGAATTCAAATAATCAAATTGAACTTTAGGTGTTTCACAAAATAAATTGTTAGTGAAAAGTTCAAGGTTTTTTTTTTTTTTGTAGACTGGGAAGATAGTTCAAATGATTGAAACTTCATTTATGAAAAAGTTTAGCATTTTTTAACTGGATGAGGGTCCCCATACCATGAATATTCTTTAGGAGTCTTATCTTTAAAACACTGGTGAATTTCTGTATGGCTCTCAGTACTTGAGACTAATCCCAAAACCACTCACTAGCATTGGAATGTATAGAATCTATTCTGTATAAGAAGCAGCATTAACAACAAAGAAACTTCTGAATGAGAGCAGATGTTAATTTGTAAAGAGTGTCTTGTCATCTGGTCAGCCTTATTTCCTAGTCTCTAGTTTATATACATTTATACGGCAGTTTTGAATATCCACTCTTGATATAATGAAGGGAGATATCAGGAAATTATATGGAAAGAAATAATTTGACACACAACTTTTTTTGGTGGTGATTAGAACTGAAAAATTCAAGTTGGTTTTTTTTTTTTTTTTTTGGCTATTTTTTGCAGTGAAAGATAAAGGACAGGGCCTCTCACACACAAGGCATGTGCTCTGTCATTATCTAAGTCGCCAGTCCATATTTGAGTATTTTAAAAGTCATCTTTCACAGCCTATTCCCAATGACTAAACATTGAGGTAAACTAAAACTTCTTTTGTTGTTAAACAACGTTTATAAAGGGAATTACAGGATCGTGATTGCAATGATTAAGAGAAACTTGAACATCAAGTATTTAATCATTATCCAAAAGTTGCAAGGGGGGTTTCATCAGGTCAATTAGTAATGCAAATGTATAATTTCCTATGTGAAAATTAGGTAGAGAAGAAATAAGATTGGCTTAAGCATGGAGCTGGGGATTTAGCTCAGTGGTTCCTTTGCGTGCCTCGAAAGAGCAGGGTCCAGAGTTCAATGTCCAGTATCAAAAAAAAAAAAAAGAAAAAAAATTGGAGTAAGCTTTGGCAATAATAGAAAGTAAAAGGCCTATTTAAATGTACTTTAGAATTCTATATATTTAAAATCGCTGTACCACAAAGCAAAAAATAAAATAAAATGAAGTAACTAATTTGAGTATAACTGTCTAAACTAGCTGTCATTTCTAGCACACCTTTTTGCCATAATGTATCTTGAAGCTTATCATGGGAAGAAGGAACCCAGGAAATTCCCAGATCTGCCTCCCGAACGTGATCAGAGGTTTGTGTGAAACAAAATTTTCTTAGTGGGCCGAGGATTTAGCTCAGTGGTTTTGCCGCCTGCTGCGCAAGCTCAACAACCCAAGTTCAATCCCAGGTACCAAAAAACAAAAACAAAAACAAAAACAAAAGTTTCTTAGTAACAAGACCCTGAAACACACAGTCTCTTGTATTAGTTCTATTTCATCTGATGATTAATTGTTTTTTGTTTTTTTTTTTCCGTGCTGGGGATTGAATCTAGGCCTCATTCATGCTAGGTAAATATTCTACAACTCAGCCCCACCCCTAGTTCCTCTTAGAGATTTTTGAAAGAAATTTATGACCTTCAAATTACTTGTATTTAAGCCAAATCATGGAAAAGTTGGTGAGGATCCAAAGACTTTATGTATGTGCAGAGCTGAAGTTTTCCAGTTCTAAAGTCAGGATATACGGTTCAAACCATGGTCCTTTCTTTTTCTAAGGATTAGTTCTGTGTTTACAAACCTTTCCTGCCTGTCTTATCTCATCTGTAAATCAGCACAGTATGCAGTAATAATAATCAATGCAATTTGGGGCTAACTCAACAAATGATCTAAATTTGCTTACACTTGAGTGTGGCACAAAATACACAGATAATAAACATTTTGTTATTACATTATTTTATTTTGTGTGATAAGGTAAATAGCTATTGTACTTTTAATTTTGAATAAGGA